GAATTAAAATATTTAGGTTACAAAATATCTCAGAAAGGGATCGAGACAGGACGAATCAAAAATAATCGCTGTACAAAAGTATCTGCCGACTCCAAACACGGCAAAGAAGCTCTCTTCTTTTCTAGGACTTTGTTCATATTATAGGTCCTTTATAAAAGATTTTGCGGCTATCGCTGAACCATTGTTAAAATTAAAAAGGAAAAAGGCAAGATTCTCGTGGACGGCCGAAGCCAATAGTGCTTTCGAAAAATTAAAACAAGCATTAACGCAAGCCCCTGTGTTGAAATTTCCTGAAAAGGAGGATGAAAATTTAGAAATTTCAGCGGATGCTTCGGATTATGCGGTAGGAGCGGTACTTTCGCAAAATCAGCAGCCCGTGGCATTTTTTAGCCGAACTTTAAATCAAACACAAAGAAAAGAAACTATTCCGCGACCGAGAGAGAGGCACTTGCAGTTCTGTTAGCAGTGCAAAAGTTCCGAGTCTATTTTGGAAAGGCGCCGAAAACAGTATACTTCTGATCATGCGGCGGTAACTAGATTGTACTCAGGGAAAAATTTATCCCCAAGGTTAATAAGATGGGCACTCAAGCTGCAAGAATATAATCTGGTAATCAAGCATACCCCCGGAAAGGAAAATATCGTAGCAGATGCCCTATATCAAGGAATTAAAATAGACGAACAAGGTAATACCGTAAAAGTGGCAATGCTGACAGCGTGTACAATAAATTCCCGAGAAACTGTAATAACCGAACTGGGTAAGGATCCTGAGTTTGGAAGTATTTATGAGTATTTGAAGGATCCTGAAAATTTTAGCCACCAAGATATTGTGGCGATAAGAAATAGGGCGGCCCCATTACGAACTAATAGATGGTCTATTATTTTATACAAAAACTACGAATTCCAACAACGAATTTCGACCTGTTATCCCAGCTAGTCTTAGATTAAATATCCTGCAGGAGCTCCATGACAGCCCTTTAGCTTCTCATGCTGGTATTCGAAAAACTATCCAACGCGTACGCGAGGCAGTCTATACTTTCCTGAACTGCAAAAGTTAACAAGGGCGTATGTCCAGTCCTGCCTGCCCAACATGTCAAGCCGTTAATTATATTAATTTCCGCCCGGCCGGGTTTCTAAAAAGTATTAAATCCGAATTTCCAAATGAAATAATTGGCATCGATTTATTGGGCCCTCTTCCCAAAAAAAGTCAGTTAAATAAAAGTCGCTATCTCCTTGTTATGGTTTGATCATTTTAGTAAATGGACCGAAATTGTTCCCTTAAAACGTGCCTCCGCGAAATTAGTTACTGATTCTATTTTAAATAAATATATTTTAAAATACGTGGCGCCCCTAAAAGTTATATCGGATAATGGTCCTCAATTTGTAAGTAATATATTTGAAGACATGTGCCAAAAACTGGGCATACGTCATTTAAAATGGTCCCGTATCAGCCGCAATCAAATATAGCGGAACGGGTCAATAGAAATATAGTGAAAATTATCCGTAGTTATGTTAAAAATTTTCATAAAAGCTGGGATAACTATGTCAATGAATTTGCTTTCGCCCTTAGGACCGCAAAACATGATACAACGGGCAAAACTCCTGCTGAGTTATTTCTAGGCAGAAAGATTATAACACCGTTAGATAAATTATTTTATGTGCAACAAAGAGCCCCAGAATTTAAAATGGGTGATATAGAAAAACTAATAAAAGAAGCAAAGCAAAAAAGAATACGGAATTAGCACAAAGAAAACAGAAGCTATATTATGATTTGAAACGACGGGGAGTAACTTATAAAGTAGGGGATGAAGTTTTAAAAATTAAGCATTCACTTTCTTCAGAACCAGAAGATGAAACTGCCAAATTTTTTCCACGATTTGAAGGACCATATGTTATAGAAAAAAATAACTCACGCTGTTGTAGTGTTAAAAGCCAGAAAGGTGAAATGGTGAAAACCTGTTCCGCAAACATTGATCAAATCAAGCCCTACTTCGATCGTAATAAAATGCAAATCTTTTCAGATCTTTTGCAGGATCCGGCACGGCAGACACCGCAGGTACAAGTTCCAGAGGTGGAAAAAACGACAAGTACAAGGGCAAGCCAATGAGAGACAGAAGCAAGTGAAAAGAAAATTGCCCCGCGGAAAAATTGAAGGTAACAAGAAAAAGAAGCCGTTCCACCGTCCAGAAAACAGAGTTCACGAACACCCCCAGAATGAAGAAGGGAGAAGGACGACGTATGTGAAGAGGACCAGGAGAAATGACGGCAACTATAACCCGGCTTTAAAACGGAAGATCTACTCATCCGACAGAACTCTCCGCAGCAAAAGTCGCCGAACTGCAGAAGGGCCATCAGCGGCGGAGGAAAAAGTACAAGGAAAATTTGAACGGCCAACAACGAGGTCCAAGCAGGATCACGACAGAAGTTTCCCGGTTCCGCTAAGACCAGCTGCCTTCAAACGGCCAAGACCACAAGCAGAGGAGAAAAGGAAGGTGTTCAAGGGTGGCCGAACCGAACTGGTGAAAAAAAAACGGAAGCTTCCAGAGGAAAAGCACTGAAGGGCGAGCCCGTACAAGAAGGAGGATAAATCAAGCTACTATCTGCAGTACCTTTAAAGACTGGGCCCAGAAAAGGATGTCCGAATATTACAAAGATAAGTAAAATTTTATGTTACTTTGCAAAACTTAAGTTAATCTTTCATTCTTACTGCAAGTGGCAGATTTCAAGAAGTTTTACCTCATGCGAGGTCTACCTTTATCGCCAAAAGGGCGAGAAAATGAGTTGTGACCGATTTTCTTATTATGTTTTTCAATTACTCGCGCGTAAAACTAAAGTTGATGTATAATAGCGTTGTGTAAAGACTTAAATATTGTAAAAAGTTATTGTATAAATTTATTTAAAACATTCTAGCAAGAGAGAAGTTTTAGTCTGAAAGACTTTTTGAAATGTATTATTTCAATGTAGAAAGAATTGGCACTTGCTGTGAAAAGAATAGAAGTTAACAATGTACTACTAATGTATGTTTTCAAATCTGTAAAATTAACGGCATGTTGATATGTTCTGTTATTTTAAATGTTAAGAAATACCGTGATATGGTAAAAGTGAAAGTAATGTTAAAAATTTGTTATTCGTGTGACTGTTAAAGACTAAATCATGGCGAATATGTGTTAAAGGTTGAATGATGTAGTTAGGCTCTCTGACGCTACACTTTAGAGTTAGCCACTTTTAGAATAGTACCTCAGGGTTTAGAGTTGAAATTAGGGTGTGTTAAGAGGTCTCGTTATGTTGAATTTTAACACGTTAGTGTTTTGTTTGTAGGAGGAAGTGTGGCACACGTAGACAGAAACACATTCGTGTTTGGTGTTCTTTTACAACACATGTCAGACAGCACGGGGAGAGATAATTAAAATAGTCATGAATGAAATAAGAATGTTAAGAGCAGTATAATTGTATATGTTACTTGCCATGTCATTGTGTAACATTTCATTAAACTAGTTTTCCTTCCAGATCTCTGGAAGGAACCAGAACTGAATAAAAGCTCCTGTGTAGATGCAGTACAGATGAAAAAAAAAAATTGTTGTATATCCTGGGAGCTGCTTTTGTAACAAATTTCTTTCTTTTAAATTTCTAGTTTCTAGCGAAGTTATGTTTGTAAAAGATTGGCCTCGCGTTAGATTCTAGAGCTAAAAGTTTTCAACAAGGTCGTTTTAGACCTCCGTTTCAAACTAATTAACTCTGGCGGGAAGTATGTAAGGATCTTAAGTTTTACTAACGTTTATTTTATTTTAAATCTTTACTATCACTTCTTATTTTCTACTTCCGGCCAGAATTATAAGCGTTAAGGATTTTATGCAAAGTTTGTCTGGCGAACGCCAAGTATTTAAGTGTGGCCTTTTTGCCAAGCGAAAGAGAGAAAGCAGTAAGTCAACGCAGGCCGCTTACCTTAGAAGTTACGCAGTTGCTGTTTGCCTTCCAGGCCAGAGGTTTTAATCCTCTTGATAAATTAAACGTATTGTAGTGTTCACAGTCTCTGTGCTACATACGCTTCCTGTTATTATAAGGCCAATCTTCACGTGTATTATTCTAGAGTTAAATTAGAGTTTAGTTTTATTTTTATACTTTTACGTTAGACCCCGAGTGGCGGGTCATTGTATTCCGAAGTACGGAAGTTATTGTATATAGAGAAAATAAAGGGTTTTGTATACCCTTCGTCTGTATCCTGTCTACTTACTACAATTAGTGAACATAGCTTTAGTAAGCTCTCTGTTCCTAGTCAGGTCCTTGTATGTTCCCGAAGAAGGTTAGAAGGAACATTGAACCTGATAAGGTTAAAGAAAACTAAGTTTACCATAAATTAAAAATTTCGCCAAGCGAATAATTATTCTTGGCGCAGACTAAAAAATGTGCGCCAAGATAAATTTTTAGAAAATTTAATATTTTGGCATTATTTGAGTCGTGGAATCGAAGTATGGAAAAAAAATTTGTATATCATTTCAGAAAAATCCGATTTTGTATCAAAATACCTATGTTAGAACAATACTATATATAAATCTAATATCTATAAGTCACGCTTTCGAGACATAAAAAAAAGCAGATTAAATTGCGTCGATCGGCCCAGTAGATCCCACCTTTTTTTTCAGTGTACCGAGGACCTCTCTGAATATAATTTTTGTTTCTAAAGGCAAAATTTTTAATTTAGTGCGAAACTCATGGGAGAAAAGAATTCACATATCAAACTTGTATAAATTGAAAGCATTTTGATTTCTAGTTCTACATATAGTCAATACCATATTAATTGCGATTTAAAAGCAAAGGTAAAATTAAGCTATTTCTTTTCATTTTTCAGATTAAATTTTGGAATTAGTACAAAAATTTTAGAGATCGATTTAAATTGCTTTCAAATCTTTAGAAGTCACTTTTAAAAGAGTCCTAAGATTGACCTTTATTTTACCTATTGCTCATCGAAATCACCTAATTTAGTTTTATAACGTTTACTTTTTTAGGTACGATGTTGAAGTGTATCCACATTCTCGAATTATTCCTCGAGACTGCTTATTACAACATATCAAAGGAGCAAGCGGCTTGTTCTGCATATCGACTGATAAAATAGATAAGGAAGTTTTAGATGCTGCAGGTTTGTTATTCATTCTAAACTTTTATATGAATATCTTAACATATCTAAGCATAAAAATAAAATTTTTCCTTCATTACCATTTCCTTTATTATCTCGGAGCGTCTGCTATTACAATAGAATGTGTCTGCAGAACAATTCGGCAGTGAAAATTAAATTTGTTGAGTCCGATTTGAGGACCAATTAAAGTGCCTTCCTTCATCCCGGCTACGATAATTTTGAGAAAATTTGTTTCCAGAAACCAAAACTTTCTTATTTATTCGCTTTAAAAAAATTATTCTTTGAACCGAGTTTCATTGTACGTTCGTTTGCATGAAATAGTTACTTTTTAAATACAAAAACTGATTGTCCGAACCTATGTTAATTTTGAAATTAGCATAATCGACGTTATTGTATTAAGGAAGTGTCTTGATATTTCTTCTATGGAGTTTTATCTCTCTGATCACTTGAAAAGAGCTCTTTCTAAGCGCACACTTTCCCCGTTTGATGGTATCTGGAAAGTAGGGAACGAGGAATGGAAATCAGTACCATTGGAAAGAAAAAAAAAAAAAATGCTTCTATCACGGAACTCAGACGCAGACTTATGGTCCAGAAAGAAAGCTAAAAAATACTCTTTACATTTAAAATACTAATTAAACGGCCCCTATAGCCTTCTGAAAATGTGTAAACACCCCCTCTATAGTGTTAATTTCACAAATAACTGTATGAAATTTTATTTTATTAGTTATTTTAAAAGTAATTGCAACAATATTTTACTAAATTCCGCTGTATATGGACTGTATAAAAGTTTTAGCTTTATTTTTATAGAACTTGTCCACTTATTATATACAGATTATTTTCATAAATTTTGTACCATATTTTAAGGAACTTAATTTAGAAGCGTATATTTAGAATGAATAGTTAAAGAAATTAAACCTGCAGTCAATTTTTTCCCAACGTCCCGTCCGCATGCACATATGTATATAAATATACATACATGTAAGTTTATACTTTAGAACTACTTAATAGCCTCATTACAGTTCTAGGATGAAGCATTATGCTTGTTTATGATCACATTTTCACTTCAGAGATGGTTAATTATAAGCAGGAAAATAAATAATAATTCTTTCTTATAATTCTCATATTTGATTTTCTTCAGGACCTCAGTTGAAAGTAGTAGCAACAATGTCTTTGGGTTTCGATCATATAGATGTAAAAGAATGCAAGAAGAGGTTAGTGTCATTTTTTTCTAATAAATTTAAATCAACGCATAACTTCCTGATATTGCGAAGTAACGGGGTGTAGAGAAAACTTAAATTTCGCATATCATAAAAGTCAGGTACAGTTACTCACTTCTAATAACAAAATGCTACAGAATGATTCGCAACGGTAAAAGAATGAAATTGTTTTGTTAAAAAACATAGATTAAAAAAAAAAAAAAAAAAAAAAAAAAAAAAAAATCTGAAAGCTTTCAGATTTTATATTACCCCTAAAAGGGCTGTTTCATTTACAGGCACATACACGTTTGAAGAGCATTTGCGCTAACGCCTTATTGGCTAAAAATATTTAAAAACGGCATATCTTTAGAAATTGAGATAGATTAGTCTAGCGAGTTGGAGATAAAAATGTTTTATTCCTTACAGTGTTGCCACTGCTTGCTTTGATATTGTTGAGTTTTTAATTAAAAATTCGTTAAAGTTTTACAAAATAGGAAATAGACAATAAAACAAATTCCAAATTCGTGCTTCTAGGTGCCCATATTCGTGTGAAAGGTAATGTTATTCAAAATTTGAAGACTCTAGGTACCGTTGTTTTTGCACAATGCGAGGAACATACTACATACAATTAAGAAGACTCTTCGTTGTTTAGTTTCTTTAAATATAATATAGGGCGATAACATTTAGTGCAACAATTTTAAAAGTGATTAGGACACTTAAAGTAATTTCACACAAAATGCCGTTTCGAGGCTAATAGCTAACGCCCATTTGGGCTAAAAAAAGTTAATTAGAGCAGAGCGGTAGAATATTAGTAAATAAGATAATTAATATTAAGTTAAATAATTTAACATTATTTTAACTACATGGAAATAATCGTAAGAGTTTATCCATGATATTCGCTTATTTTGTATGCATTTACATACTGAATTTTAAAATTCTTTTAAAAATATCACTCACTTTATTTAAACATATCTGACAAGGACACCCCATGATATAATTTAATATGCCGTACAAACGGCATATTAAATTATACATATTTTTTGCCGCACTTCATTTAAACTTATTTCTTCAAATTTCGTTAGGGATACATTTCTCTTTCAATCATTTCAATTCTCACTTCTCGGCAAGGCAAAAATACATAAAAACTCAAAACATCACTAAAAACATCTACAATAAAAATTATAAGATACAGATATTCATAAAACACCAAATACATTTAAAAATAATTTTTACAACTGAAATTAGAGTTTCTATGAAAAAAATAAGCAATTCGGCAGGCGGGCAGGAAGACAAAAGTTTTCGGTGCACAAAACTGAAACTTTTGACCCTATTGAGCCAAGAGACACTCAAGTTGGTGCGCGAAGTGACTTAATTCATTGTTGTAGTAAGATTTCAAATGTAAACAAATGGCGGTCTCTTTAAGCTCAGCGTTTTTTAAACTTTAAATTATTGATAAGTCTAGTAAGAGTAATAAGAGAGAGTATATATATAAGAGTGTGAGAATATATATATATATATATATATATATGTTTGGTGCATCCGATTCCAGTTGAAAAGGGAGGTGCAGAACTACATTTTATGGCAGTCCATATACAAAAATTCAACGTTCTACGGCTAGTCGTTTTTGAGTTATGTGAGATACATACGTATGTACATACACACGTCACGAAAGAATCTCTTCTGAATCTATGTTAAATCCTTTTCACAATCAGTTCTGGAAAAAAGAGCGCTTTATTGTGCCCGATGCAAAGAAATCGTTAAAGTGATTTCGAGAGCGGTCAAAATGGATATTTTCGTTGAAATATGATACTCGAAGTTTTTCGAGATTGAAATACTTCCTTTTTTTCGTACAAAGAATTAAAAAATAAAAATTTTCTGATAAGAACTATTTGAAAACATTATTAGGAAAAAAATATAGGTTAAAGTTAAGATTTGAAATCAGTCTCTTGCTAAAAAGGTTAAACTGGTTTTAGCCATGAAATAATTATAATTTCTGCTTAGTTATGAGATTGGAAGAGTGCGATCTTGACGATATGATTTGACTGATGTGAGTGCTTTAGCTACGTAATATTGTTGAAATTAAGAAGCGATAGGAAAGTAAGTTTGACTCAAAATTTAACTGTTAATAAAATTAACATAATCCTTACAAATTAAAAAGATGCATATGCTATTTCTCAAGCTCTTGTCTAAAAGTTTTATTCCAAAACATTTGCCTTTTTTCTTTAATTCTTTATCGAAGTCGTTCTAAAAATGCGTAAACCCGCTTTTATAGTTGCCTAATGAGTACGATACCAGATACAAAAGAAATAATGCGGTGTTATATTTGAAACGAATTTTGTTCTTTATTTCGTATTTGTTCCTAGTTACCCATACTAGTTACTAATTTATTTTTTTTGGCGGCATTTTTTCTAACCAATAAATCTGTTTTTGCCTTTGAGTTAATTGCTAACGATTAAACGAACTGGATGCATGGGTGCTTATGTTGTTACCCAAGATATTAACATAAGGGAGTTACCAGAAATAGTATAGCTTTATAAATCTATTTTGGATATTTCAAACTGTTTTTTTTTTTTTTTTTTCCAAATTTAAAATCTTTTACTGCTAAGGATTTCGATGTTAAATTTCTAATATCCTTCATATCTTCTTTTGAAGAAACATCATAGTATGTAACGGTCCAAATCCAATCTCTGTGTCTTGTGTGGCAGAATTTACAATTGGATTGTTGCTCTCCGTTTCAAGAAGAATAGTGGAAGCATCAGGAGCTATCAAACGGTATGCACAATGTAACAGATTGTTGTACCACTTTTCTCACTCTATTGTTTATAGATACAAACAAAAATTTAATGTTATGTGAACATTAAATTTAATTTGAGAGCTTAGAAACGTAAAGAAAATCCAGCGTCATTGCCTACCATATACACCATTTATTGAGATACTTTAACTAAATCTGCATAATTTTTCAATGAAGAAGACCTAATTGTGCATACAGCGAAGTTTCAAATCATGTATAAGGAAATACAAAGCTTCTCATGCAAAGCAAACATATTTTCTGGGAAAATAGAAACAAATGGAATTTTTTCCGATACTCTACGGACATTCTTATTTCTTCCGTATCATTGTAATATCATTCCATCTTCTTGATACAGAATATTCTTATTTTCTTTTGGAAAATGTCCATAGAAAATCCATATCATGTCACAGTGTTCCACTTTTTTGACATGGACTATTCTTATTTTCTTTTGGGAAATATTCATAAGATAACCATATCATGTCACAGCATTCTACCTTCTTGACATAAAAAAGTATCCTTCAAGGAATTTTTGCGGAAGTCTTAACTGGTAGATAATAAAATGCTTAATTTTGAACAACAGTTTTTAAACTTTTTCCTATCATTTGCGCCTTTTGACTCATCATTTGTTTAATTTCCCCTTCTCACATTCCCCAGAAAAAAAAAAAAAAAAAAAAGACTGAAATTTATAGAAACATTTCTTGAATATGTAAATGACTATTATACCACTTATAAAATTTTTGAAATTATATATATATAATATTATAAAAATATACGTATTAGAAAAATTACAGACCTTTTTACGTAATTATGATACATTTATTTTTTATGTACTTAAGATTCCCTTAGTGAAGTATAATAAAAGTGGAAAGTTTATTTCCTAAATAACCAGGCAAACTGACATTTAATGAATGCCATTATGTCAGCTTACTGCTTGGTCAAGGATATCAATTTACCGATAGACTTAACACGAAGATAATCTGCAGATGTGACTTTGGGGACAAAATTTTCATATAATTTGAATGAACGTTCAGAACATTTCAGACTTTTTAAGTCTTTTAAACATAAAGAGTTTCGATTTGTTTGTATTAATAACGTTCGTCCTTTTAATACGTCATAATTCGAGCTCTGTAACCTTTCTTTGCATACTGGAGATAACCAAATTCGGATTGCTAGAGTTTATAATAATCACAGTATCGTAGGCTTAGCGCTATACAATGCAATTCTAGGCACACCGTCTTTTATAAGCCTTCCACTGAATGATGAAGCGCATCAAAATTAAATACTTAACATTTTCACCTTTGAATAAATGAACAATATTTTCTTCTGCTTTTTGCATATGTAATATAATGAATGTGCAGTAATATACCCCTTTATATATTTTTTAAGGTATTTTCTCCCTTCTTTCCTCATGTCTTCGTGGTGTAATTGGATGCATATTCGACGTGTATTCGAAAGGTCCAGGGTTCGAATCTCGGCGAAGGAAGCGACTTTTTTTCACGTCTCCTGCCTCAGTATAACCTGACGACTCTATAATTTTAATATAATATGCTATGAAATATAATACACATAGTAATTGAATATACTGCAGTCAATGTTGTAAAAATGAATTAATATTTGATTTGGAAATGAAATCATTTTAACTGAAACCAATGGAGAAATCTGAAATCCGCCTTAATTTTAAAATGAAGCATTGCAGGACATCAGCAATGACCAGGATTTGACGGCCAAATTTCCTACTGCCCTACGATTTACAGAGGTTCAACAATTAAACTGAAATAGCTACACCTAAGAGTGTAACACTTTACTAATACTAGAGTGTAATACTTTAGTACTAGAGTGTAGTACTTTACTAATACAGTGTCAGCCCTTTTATAGATGCCAATACTTCAATTATTCTACGTGGAAATGAATGATACAGTCGTAAAAAAATAGTTTTAGCTATTCCTGTTGAAAAATTCATTCATGTTGGCACAAAAGAGAAAAGGTTTCCGATTTTGCAGTGAGGATTTTATGCATTTTTGGATACAATTCAATTTAACCATCTAACATTCTTTATAGATAATTTCTTGTATCATCAAAAATTCTTTTTGGACGAAGTTCTTTGCTAAATACAATGAAATGAACCTGAATATTGGAAATCTCTACGCATAAACAAAAGAAAAAAAAACTGCAGACTCTGCAGCAGATACACTAGTCAGACAAGCGCCAGTAATTTGCCCTGTTTTGAACTCCTAATATATTGTTACGTTTTTCTCTTCTCAGACCAGTTGTTGCATTATTTTCTTCCTTCACGTTCATACGGGCTTCGTAGATTTGGAGTGAATAACGACGACACTTGATGAAGTATCGAAACACACTTTATTTAGCCAATATTAATCAGGACAGCACCAATAACACTTTTTACAGTCGTCGATCTATTATAAACAGGCTGACACGATCAGCGACACAGCCTGCAGGTTATCAGGCTATCACGGGGGAGACAGCTTCACGTCAAAGCACTAGAGTACAGTTCCCGACTCTGCTTTGTCGTTCTCGGAACTCCACGTACTCTCGAGACTCTTCACGCTACAACTCGCGATGCTCTCGACGAAATTCAGAGCACAGCTCCCGACTCTGCGGTTCAGTCGTTCCAGGAGCTCAACACGCTCTCTCGACGATGCACTAAAAGCGATACATTAACAGACTCCTTCGTGAACTCGACGACCCCACTCGGCACTCGCTGCCCGGCTGTCAACTCGATAGACTCCGCAGAGATTGACTCGCTAGACGATACACCAACTCGATGCTAACTCTCTCACACTCCAGACGAGAAACTTTGACATTTCGTAACAATATATTTAAATTATGGCCTGCAACTCTCAATGTTTGAAGCCACTATACCTCCAATATCATCGAAACCTCAAACTTTACACTATTGTTCATAAAATTTTAAATTCAGGATTCTCAACTATAAATACGTACACTGGCTTATTATTTGAAGGGTTATATTCCACAAGCGTTTCTTGTATACACTTGTGTTCCTATATATGCTACTTTCGCACATATTTTATAACGTAAAAAGCATAGCAAATGTTAGCTGTTAGCACTCAGTTCTGAAAACAGAATATTACACACAACTTGAGAAAATATCTTATGACTCCTGTTATGGGTTATATGACACTGTAACCTGTAAGTGCTAAATCTGCAGATGCTAACTGTTCTTTAAATGCAATACTGGTTTTATTGTGACAAGTATCTATAAAACACACAGTTGAAGCACTTTTTTTTTTTTTTTTTTAATTCTATACAGAGGAGAATGGACAGAAGTATGGACACCAAGCTGGTATGTTGGAAGAGGTTTGACTAATGCCATAGTTGGCATTGTTGGAATGGGAAGAATAGGTATGTAATTTTTTCCGTTTCATAATTATTTTCTAAATTTTTATAATATGCTTGCAGATATAAGAAAAGTTTGAATATTTTAACCCAAGTATTAAACTAAAAACCTATTTTCCTGTAGATATTTTTATTCCGTGAACTCATTTATTATATTAAGAAAACACTCATGTCCTATATGTAGATCAAATACTGCAAATAATAATCATTAATTTCTACATAAATTATAGAAATATGCAGAAGAATATAGCATTATTAAATATTCATAATACTTAATAGAATTTGGAAACTTTCCTGTTCTATAAATCTGCCTATATACTTTATCTATAAGGGAAAATATATGTAAGAAAAAAGCTTATTAAATATGTCCTAACTAATAATATTAATATTTTCTTTGTATTAGGAAAAGCCATATTAGAAAGAATATTACCATTTGGTGTGGCAAAAGTGTATTATTACGACATTTATCATCCAATACCAGAAGGTATCTATATTTTTCTTTTAGATAGTAAATAATATACTCAAAATTAATGTTTCTTACTTCTTAATTTTAATCAAAATCAAAATATTAAATTTAGAAATATTTGATTGCGTTAATTTTAGCATTCATGAATAAGAATTATAGAAATTCTAGAATGTGAATTTCACTTTCGTTATCTCGAAATTTCAGCACAATTCTAGTTAGTTATCAGATTTTTACTTCCTTGTACGAAGTAAAAAGGAAGTATTGTAATCGCGAAAATTTTCAGCCAGCATATTTGAACGAAAATATTTATTTTGGCCACTATCGAATGCAATTAAACGATGTTTTTGCGTGACATCTGTACGTAAGGACAAAATAAAAGACTCTTTTCCTCCAAAAAAATTATAAAACTGCTTTAAAATGAATTCTGAAGAGAATTTTTCGTGCTGTACATACGTATGTTATCTCGCATAACTCAAAAAACGAATAAACTAAGAACGTTGAAATTTTGTATATAGGACTGCTATAACATGTAGATGTGCACCTCGTATTTTGGTTGCAACGGCCCGCCTCAAAACGTACATAAATATATTTATATATATATCCACTCTGTTACCCGGCTCAGTGATCTCAGTGTCTTTACTCTTATATGGTTGTAAATTGTGCATTTTTTGCTTTAAGAATGATTGAATTATGTTTTATGCTTTAAGTAAATCTGCAAGCAATAGTTGATACAATTAATCAACAATTTAAAAGCTGTTTAAGTGCAGCTAAGCCTAATTCTTAAATAACATGGCGGACATATTTGTTTACATTTGAAACAGCAAAATAGTAGATTTGTTGCCAATCTAGAGAGACTAAGCTTTGCTACAACAAAGATAACGTCTTCATTTATTATTGCGAATTAAAGCATGCTTAATTCTTTCTGAAATTTTTTCGAGGAAATACGTATTTAAGATTTACTTCGTAATTTTTAATGTAGATATTTTGAAATTTTAAGTATTTTTGCCTCGTCGCGAAGTGAGAACTGAATTAATTGAATGAGAAATATTGAATAGTCTGTGAAAAACTTTTCTTGTTTGTTTGTTTTGTTTGTTTAATTTCTTTTATACATCGTTGCAGATTTATTTGAACAGAACATGTGGCAACGATTAGATAATTCTTCAGATGATATAAATTTTGTGCATTCTGAGTTATAATATGAACGAAATATACCGGGTTAAGTGAACCTAGCGCCAGAGTGTCACTATGGTAAACAAATATAGTGAATTTTAAAGAGTGCATTTATTCTATTGTGGTTTATGCGCTATCGACGAAGTAGGTTCAATTCAATCCAATACGTTTAAATGAAATGCAAGAAAAAATGCGTATAATTTAATATTCCATACAAGGAAGTCATGTGGTGTACACATCAGATTTTTTATTAATATGAACGAAAGATTGATTATTATTCATAACCTAAACTCATCGACTCGTTAAACAACGCATAAAATTGCTCTGCTATGCATAGATTTTCATCTGCTACCTGAATTCTCATAATCAAGTTATCAAGCATTGTTAGCCCTAAGGGGCTTTAGCTCAGAAGGGCTATTAGTCTCGAAACGGCATTTCATACCGGTTCACTATAAATGTCCGTTTTACTTTTCAAATTGTTTCTATCAAATATTATCGCCCTGTATTATACCTAAAGAAATTAAATAATGTAGAATCTGCATAAATATATGCATGTGCGTTTCTCTCGTTGTCGAAAATACAACGGTATCTAGAGCCATCAAAATTTGAATAACGTAGTCCTCCACCCGATTATGAGCAAATGGAAGGCCGAATTTCGAATTTGTTTTATTGTCTGTCTCGTATTTTGTAAAACTTTAACTAATTTTTGATTAACAAACTCAACCATTTTACAGCAAGCAAGCAACACTGTTTAAAAATAAAATAAAATAAAATAAAATATATATAAAAAAAAATCACCTCGAGCGTGCGAGACTGTCTATCGGAGTTTCTAAAGATTTGCTGTTTTTAAATATTTTTAGCCGAAAGAAACATTAGCCTAAATGCTCTCAAAACGTGTATATGTGTGTAAATGGGGATGAGGGCACCCTTTCTGATGACTGGACCCTTTCTGATGACTGGAGCTTTGGGCGTAATATAAAATCTAAAAACCTTCAGATTCTTCTTTCTTTTTTTAACTTTTTCATTGAAAGCATTTGAATAGCTTCACATGGGAGTAAAATGTAATTAATTAATGGACAAACTGCAGCCAAATATGCATGATGTTACATTACATAGCATTGCTAGCAGCTCTGAATATTCCACGCGTCCTTTGTTGGCCAAGAAATATTTAAAAATTTAAAAGCTGAAATATTAGCTTTTTGTTTCAGTACTAGATTATGTCCAAGTTTCATGAATTTTTCTAATATTGAGAGAATTTATAAAGCCCCCTAGATTCGAAAACATTGTTACAGATTTGAAAAGATTTAGGTAGAAACAAGAAAATGGCTAGAGTTATTAACATCATTTACATTAAATGGGGAGCCAGCAATGTAATTTATCAGTAAATTAAAAGTCATTAAAATATGGCAGGCGAATAGTTCCTCTATTATATTTAGTTGTGGAGATTTATTTAATTTACTTAATAAGTTAATTTTATTTTGAAGCAATTTTTTCTATTGCACTTGCTTTCATCCCACGCTTTCTTGCCAGATTGATATTTCAGTTTCGCGCGTTTTGCAAAGTAGGGTAGAAAAGTAATATTTAAGCTTGTGTTTGAGTAACTTTAGACACAGCGTATTCTGCCTTCCGGCCACGTTGTTTTGCTGATATTTAAGCTTACTATTTTACGGCTGTACACATTAATTGTCGGTTTGTCTATGTCGGTAATAGGGCTAAGAGCCAGCTCGCGTAAAGTTTCTTTGTGCAGCTTCGGCTGGTTATTTAACTTACTTTTAGAATTTAATATGTATTTTGAAATACAGCCAAAAGCGTTGGTTTAGTTTGTGAGCACCAAGACTGCTGTCTGTAAATATTCTCTTGAATTGAAGAAAAGGGTCTTTAGACTCTATCCTAATCCTTGTCATTAATACAGTTGGAACTTAACGAATAATCGCTTCACAGTTCAAGTAAAGATCTAGCCAACCATTTAAACTTAATTTAGTTAGGATTTTGCAAATCGAGTAATTTTAACATAAAAGAAAAAAATCTGGTGTGTACACCACATGACTTCCTTGTACGGAATATTAAATTATACGCATTTTCTTGCATTTCATTTAAACTTATAGAATTGAATTAAATTTATTTCGTCGATAGCGCATAAACCACAATAGAATAAATACACTCTTTAAAATTCACTATATTTGTTTACCATAGCGACACTCTGGTTCACTTAACAGCGGTTACATTTCATTCATTTTTTAACTATGCCTATGTCTTATTACTCAGTAAGAGGCAATCGGCCATTAACGGCCTTTACCAATACATTATACTTGACTTTTAAATGCTTGAAGAATCGAATAAGTTATATCCAATAATATGGAAGTACTTGAGCACATGCTGGGCTAGAACGAGTACCTGTGCCGCCGTCCGTAGAATAAGTAAACTTTGAACAAATGAGGCGCTCATGTGGCGCCATCTACTAGTAAGGATGAAAAGCATTTTAGATGACTGGAGCTTTGGTGGCGCCATCTTTTGCAGGATGCATTATAAGGCATTTTTAAAATTTCATAAAAATTACTCTTCTGATAAGCAATAATTGGCATGAATTAAAATGTTGAAAAACACAATTTACAGTGCATTGAAACACGTTTCACAAGAGTAAAATCTATTTACACACAAAGTCTACCTGCTTTGACAGGAACAAAGTCCTGCCTATGTAATTTGATAAGTAAAACTATTAAGTAAAGAAAATGAAGTAAAATCTTGACTAAATAAGAAGAAAACAAAAATACATACATTACCACTGACTATTATGATGAATAGTGCGGGACCTCTTGTGGCATTCTTCAATTGTGAAATCATAATTTCCTAGTTTTTTTTGATGATATTCTTAGGGTGACTGTCACATTTTGTAAAAAAGTTATGAGAAGCTTTTAGAATTTCAGAATCCGTGGGTTTAATTTTCAAGTCATTGTGAAGAGTGCTGTTTCGTACGAACCAAGGCGAATTTGTAATTATTCGGATAACCTTGTTTTGAATTCTTTGTATTTTTTGTCGGTGAGTTCTTGCAGTTACAGCCCACGCTGGGGAAGCATACAGTAAAATCGGGCAGAGAAAGCTTGTAGATAAATAACTCTTTTTGTAGCGAGACTAAGCTTAGAATTTCTCCCTATGAGTGCATAGATGCTGCCTATTGCTTAGTTGGCTTTTTTACAGGTATTTTCGGTATGGATTTTGAAGGTTAGTTTTTAATCGAGCTAAACGCCTAAATATTTAACACAGTTTTCATTTGGGATGGAGATATTATTAATTGTGATGTTCTTGAGATGTCTTCTGGAAAGGTTCTTTTGGAAATATATTGTAGTGGATTTGCTTTCATTGATTTTGATTTTCCAAACGTTAAACCATGGGAAAATATAGTCTATTGCATTTTGGAGGTTTTGGATGGCTCTTTGCGGATTGATGGATTTGCTGAAAAATTGCGATCGTCTCCATAGCAGGCGATAATGGCGTCTTTGTGGCTGGGAAGATCATTTATGTAGGTGTTGAAAAGAAAAGGCGAAAAATTCGAGCCCTGAGGGACACCTGCTTTCATTACACTGATATTAGTAGATAGCTCGTTCTTAATACGAACTTGAAAAGTTCTGTTTTCCAAAAAACTTGAAATTAGGAGGATTAATCCAGGCGGAAATTTGTTTCCGAAAGTTTGATAAGGAGGCCTTAATTTTTTAACTCAGAATGCACAAAATTTATATCATCTTAAGAATTATCTAATCTTTGCCACATATTCTATTCAAGTACTATGTTTCATAAATATAAAACAATGTATAAAAGAAATTAAGCAAACAACAACAACAACAAAAAAAAAA